TTATCCCAAACATGAAAAGAAACACTGTCTAGTTGTTACCCCTCTTTCACCATTCAAGTACCAGTATCACAATCCGAGATCATAACACCAAGGGACATATCATTCATACCATAAGTCATCAAAATACATGTTGAAGAATGAATTAAAAATTTATAAAAAAGGTATGGAAGGGAACTGGCATGACTGCTGAATAAAATCACAAAAAACCAGCCAAATAAAGATTATTTAACTTAGAACTTCCTGAACATTATGTTAAAAAAGGGCAGTCATATTGATAATCCCACTACATCAGGACAAAGGGACAAATACAAAAAGGATATCTCTCCACAAATAGAATATATGTATCCCAGTAGACTTATCCTAAAGTAAATGCAGTCAGTTGTGAACATAATTGAAAACAAAGAAACAAATAACATCAAAGACATATACATGTCACGTATGGATCTGCAACATTAGCAATGCTACCTGAACATCACAAGGCAATTTTAATTACAATCCCTGGATATATTGGCAGGCTCTCTGACAGTTACATATCTCTAATGGAAAGTATACAGGATTTCAGTATGTGTCATCCAATGAAAGCATTGTGTAACATTTCATCACACTTCAGTAGGAGATGCAATCAGCAAAATGGCCGCAGTCATAAAGTTACATAATAGCAATCATGCTGTTTTGCTGACTGATATTCAAATACATGAATATGTCGCACAAGTGCCAAAGGAAACAAACTAAAAATTGTTATAGAACACCAGCAAGAAAAAGAAAACATTTTAGTGTGAACCAGTCATAAGTAAAACAAATCCCAACTATCCCAAACCATAATCCAACATGAAAAGAAACAATGTCCAATACCCTCATCACGGTTTATAAAACAGTTGATGTTGGAAAATGTTTGATGTTGGAACTGAAAATTAAATCCTTCTATGATCTATATTTCAAGGAGGAGGGGCCCCCGGGAGTTTTTTCACTTTCTCCTTTTGATTGGTATATGGGGCAATAATATTACTATACTATATTCCCTGACTAAATGGTTGGTCTGAGTCCAAATAGTAACTCAAGTAGACAATCCATAAACAATAATGAACAAGTTGAGTATTGCTGCCATTACAGAGTCATCAGTGGCTTTCTTTGGAAATGAAATTCCACAGAAAAGTCAAATTGACTTGTAGTCTATAATTCCAGAAGTATTAAAAGAATCATCAATTAACCTCACAATATGTTGACAAAGCATTAGCAATTACAGTAATAAAAGCAGGTGGAAAAGTCGTTATGTGGAGGAAGAAGAATCGTCAAGCAAATTCTTTGGATGGAATTTCTGTATTGTTTTGTTGCTGTGCAACCTAGGATTTGATAGAGAGAGTATAATATGATAGCACCTTTATAATATTATGGACAAGAGACCAATCTGTTTATTATTATTATTTCTGAAGGTGATAATTATCACAATGCTTCTTGTAAGAGAGTACACACATTTCAGAATCTTTTATTTATGTTTATCGATGTCCAAATATAGGACCAGTCGCTATTCCCAGTCTATGATAGGTTCAAGCTAGCCTATTTCCTGGGAAGACAGCTATTATACTCATAAACTGAAGAAAATATGGGTTCATTGCCATACCAAATGTTAAAAAATAAACCCCACACGCATTGAGAATCTCCATCAAGGTTTATGTACAGTGAACACCCCAAGTATCAATGTGTTTCTCAGATTTGAGCTATGCTCATGTAAAGAATCTGAGTCTGCTAAGTAATCCAAAGTCTTCATTATGATCTGATCTTGTTCTATACATATATTTCAACTGTTTCTGTTATGTGTTGCCTAAAATGGTTCACATTTAACTCCACCTAATCAATTCATTAATTGTTAGGAACTCTCACCCACCCACCCTTAACAACCGGCCTTTTTGATATGCAACAATGTACTAAATCTATACATCATTATCCAACTTCTGAAAACTTATTGACCAACTGAATGACTCTTCTAAATCTTTAAAAGGTGTGTTATACTCGCCTACATTCTTATATATTTGTACATTAACGCCAATTTGTGAGCATTGTCCTTTTTGAATCAATGTTTGAAACCAACATTAAACATGTTGAAATGATTCACACACATTTTACTCTGACAGTGAAATTGCCATTTTCCACCCATTCACCAAATTGATTGTGGATAATTTGTCCTTATACAGCCAAAGCGCCTCCAATTTGGTGAAAGATGCAACAATTTAGAAAAAATGTGTCCCAAGTGTTCAATTGATATAATCATAACAATTTAATGGGGTATGTGACATCTAAATTATATCCTTTAAGTCCTTCAAATGATTAAATGTCTATTTTGTATTTGAATGGGTAATAAATTACATCATTCATACAATTGACTCAACTTGGAAATTCAATTCAAATGTGTACGATTCTTCTCAAATTTGACAGTAAGTCATTACATCACTAATTATTGTAACTCTGTCAACTTAAACTCCCAAAGAGGATATGGAACAGAATGAACGACTAATATATTTGTTATATCACTCATGTACTGCACTCACTGGTTGCTGTATTCTACAATTCATCTGGTTTACTTTGAATAAGTAATAATAAAGGGAATTCCCAGGAGCCAATGTGAGCAGATTGGTGTTGAAGACATATTCATTATTCTTGTTCAGAAACACCTTATGACATGTAAGGTCAGTAGGGAAATGTAAAATATTTATTGAACACTATGATGAAATCCTTTGAAACGCCATAATAGTATAGTAATAACCAAATATGAGTGAAATTCAGTGATATGTCAATTAATACTATTGAATTGCAATATGGTTCAGTGACAAAATTAATATAAACAACCCCCAATGTTACAAGTAACTAAATGCATTATTTCAATGTTACAAAAATTACAAAACAATGTAAAAGGCAACTGGGTGCTATGTTTCAATATTAAACTAACAACCTTCAATGCAAAAGGTAACTCAATGCAGTGTTTCAATATTAAACTTCCAACCTCAGATGAAACAGGACATGCAACTGTGTGAAATATTACAAAGTGAAACTTACAACCTCAAAATGCAAAAGGCAACCGAATGGAATATTTCAATGTTAAATTGACAACCTCTAATGCAAAAGGCAACTTAATGGAATATTTCAATGCTAAACTTACAACCTCGAATGCAAAAGGCAACTGAATGGAATATTTCAATGTTAAACTTACAACCTCTAATGCAAAAGTTTGTGATTTGGTTTTGGTTTCCCGATGACTGGTTGTCCTTTGTCATTTGTTACAGACATTGAACACCAACCACATAATACCAAACACAAAAAGGTTGCAGACTATAACAATATGTCTTTGGTGGTGATATAAAAATGATGTAATGTGAAGATGGCCCTATTAAACAAATCAATACATTTATACCTCCAAGTGGTCAGAAACTACATGGATAAAAACAAAAATATCTGTATAAACATTTGAAACTAACATTAACCTCTTGAATCCCAGGCTCTAAAATCGGTTGAAACCAGAGATTTTTTCATTTTTGTCACCTTTTGACATTGTACTACATACTTATACAACTTCAGATACTCAACTTAGTAAAATTAGACGGCAGAGATCATTTCTACACATTTTGAAACAATTTTTGTGTAAATTGGATGAAATTTGTTCAAATAAGAGCAATTTTAGTGAAAAATTTTGTGACGGATTTTCTCGTCACTCTGGGTTTCAAGGTCATTTCTGAGGTGACGAGAAATCTCGTCACTCCAGGTAGTCAAGAGGTTAAATAACTGGCTCTATGCTTCAATAATGAATGAGAATACACTGAACTGAATTGGTTTAGAGTTGTTGATGAATGCTTGTGTAAATGTGTGAATTGAAACACGTACATCCTCAACTAGAGTACACATTAACTCACATGAAGGAATACACAAAGGTATTGCAATAATCATAATTGCTGTTAAACATAGTACTTTAAAGTGTGAAATTTACACAACCTTTCGGTGGAACACACAATTATCTTTTCAACTAAGCAAGTGAAGCTTTTGGCCTTTCTATATTGCCACGATCTGTTGGATCCAGAACCAATTTGTCATTCTCTAGATGTATTTCCTTTTCTAATTGCTGTAACTTTCTGGGATATTACAAAATATACTTCATCATGGGTTGTACAAAATACTTTGATTTCCCTGAGTTGACATTAATATTCCAGCACTGTTTGCTAAGTCTATAGGAATGATAAATTATGTGTGTTTTAAAGTTGCCAAAGGCGTGAAATTATTAATACTAGGAGATGCTGACAAAAGACAAATTGATTTCAAGAATAAAGCCTATAAAAAGAGGATGTCTGATAACAATTCAGTGTATATTCTGGCATCATATTCCAAATGCAACTTAGATTGATCTAATGAGATTTATAATTGTAAGTTGATGTCTAGCTTTTTCATTTATGGCTTCATTTAGAACATCTTTTACTCTAAGAGAGATTATGCTAATTTAGAATTTATAGCTTCTGTCACTTATACCTTTCTGTAGTGACGGGCACCATGTTATCAAATGAATTTTTAAGTACAGTACTTATAACCAAATGAAACCAATTGCCACTTTGATGCGCATAACAATCAAGCAAGTGACATTTGGAGAGTTATAAACATCATCCAAATAGCAGCTGTGACATTCTGGTCAATAAAACTTTCTACCACGCTTACACCCAGCTTGATTAAAGACACTTGAATATCAATTGGATCCAGGTTTTGCAATGTTAGAATTGAAGGTCAAGAAAAAAGATCTCAGGATTATCAAAATATCTTGATAGCTATGATCAGATGCTGTCAATGAATGCAGACACGAGAGGTGTGTAAAAAGGAAGATGTGAACCAAGTTTATTGATTGGGGAAATCAGCAACAGGAACCTGAAGATAATTGTATGAGCAAATAGTGATCTCGGGTTTGTAGAAAAATAGTGGGTACCGGGTAGTAAATCCTCCATGCTGGGTTCAAACTTGGTACAAACTTGGTATTAAGTTAAATATCTTTAGAAAGCCAATTTTTTGACATGAATATGGTACGTGAATTGTTTTGATTATGATTTAAATCTGGGGGTGTGATGGTGTGATCGCACCCCACCCCCATAACCAATGCAAATATGACCATGATGATGATAGAGGAAGAAAAGAGCCTTAACATGCTTTTTATTTGAAGCTTCTAGCTCAATTTTGAAGGAAGTTACATACATTTTGTAAATTCAAAACAAATACCCATTTTTGAAGTACCCATTTTTTTCGACCGGGTACTGGGTACCAAGTTTGAACCCAGCATGGAGGATTTACTACCCGGTACCCAGTACCCGGTATTTTCTACAAACCCTAGTGATCTCCAATACGAATTCCCTTAAATTCATTAACACTTGTGTCTTACGGCGTATATTCAACAATTTCATCTTAGATTACCCTCATAATATGTAAACAGTTGCATACATAATCAATAAAGACTCTTGCATGTTTTCATATTTCAAGAAAGTATTAATGAATTTTTTATATTGTCTGTCATATTTCTGTCAAACATTGTCAGCCAATGCTTCAAGGCCTTTCATATACAATCAGAGCTATCTCAGGCAACCTCCATGTTTCTTAAAGTGGCATTGCTTTTTGAAATGGTGACCTCAATTCTCATTTTGACCTTGCTCATGTGACTGACTCATTTATATTCTCTGATACACAACTTGCTGAAGAATTGTCTGATACACAACTTGCTGAAGAATTGTCTGAAACACAACTTGCTGAAGAATTGTCTGATACACAACTTGCTGAAGAATTGTCTGAAACACAACTTGCTGAAGAATTGTCTGATACACAACTTGCTGAAGAATTGTCTGATACACAACTTGCTGAAGAATTGTCTGATACACAACTTGCTGAAGAATTGTCTGAAACACAACTTGCTGAAGAATTGTCTGAAACACAACTTGCTGAAGAATTGTCTGAAACACAACTTGCTGAAGAATTGTCTGAAACACAACTTGCTGAAGAATTGTCTGATACACAACTTGCTGAAGAATTGTCTGAAACACAACTTGCTGAAGAATTGTCTGATACACAACTTGCTGAAGAATTGTACATGCTAATGATGGGTGCCAATCAAACATCATACAATTGGAAAAGGAATCAATAAGGAAATAAACAACTTTGAACACAAGTCCATTCTAGTAAACAATGGTTATATCCTCAAATAACCAATTCATTTGGAAAAACACATAATTTTCTCTTATGATACAAGCTAACCAATAACTACTCACAAATTAATTCCACATAAAACAAAGACTGTTGAACAAAAATAGAATCTAATGAGATCTCTCAAGGAGATAAATTCTGAACCACAAATTATATCAACATTATATCAAACATCTCAAGGGATTGAATAGCCACAAAAAGAAAGATATAAAGCAATCGACCTAAGATTTAGCTCCCATCAAGGGGAAAGGCTAGGGAGAGTTACAATGGCTGTAGAGACTAATCAACGAGCAACATGCATGTGTACACATAATCATATCGACAAATGAGTTCAGATCGACTTTCTGATTGGCAAAATGGGAGCATGAACTCTATTTTCTTAAAAATAGCTTCAGGATGACGTACATCAGTCTTAATGTAGAGAAACCTAGGGACCTCCTGATGTCTCAGGATATTAAGGTCTCGCTTTAATGCATAAGATGCGCTGTTGTTGAACATAAGATGGGCAATCAATCTTAGGTGACAACTTCGATTTGTCATTCCTGGTGCCTTGATATACTTCTTCATCACGAGGTATTAATTGTGGATTGTAACACAATATCACCCCATTGAATAAAAAATACATAAATGCACACGGTTTGAGGCATAATAAGCGACACATACACTAGAGTGCATTAAATGAATACAATCTTGATGGACCCTTTCCAATGCAGGATGGAGGGAAAGGTGAACTATCTATTAATATACCCAAATAACAAAGATCACATGGTTTTCTAATATTACAAAAAAACCTAAATGAAGCTTGGTCATCCTTAAAACAGGACACATAATTTCTTGAACAATTCGAGGAACTTCAGTGCCCTTAAACAAGTGGAAGGAGTAGTTTTCATTCACTAAAGACACCCTACATTGATCAAGCTTATAAGGCATACTTGTTGCAGATAAATGATTGCTCAGTATGAAGATTTATATAGCTGCTTTACTTGATGCTGTTCAAAGGAGCAAGTCCTTTGGAGGTGAGGGGCATTAGATATTGTTATATTTTCCTTTTTGATTATGGTTTGGGATAGTTGGGATAGTTTTTCTTATGAGTGGTGTACACTACATTGTTTTCTTTTCTTGCTTGGTTCTGTATCCACTTTTGGTTCTTTCCCTTTGGCACATGTACTAGTTAAGATACCTGAATTCCTTCAAAATGATTTATTTTTGTTTAACAATCCATTCTTACGAAATCATCCTTTTTATAGTTGAACTCCCAGTTTACTACAAACCTCTAGATAATTCTTGTGAATAGGTTTTCAATAATTAATATAAGTAGCATTGCAAATATGATGACATATGATGATATTAAATGTTATCATAACTTGTAAATTCATAATTTGTCTGGAAACATGTCTATAGTCATAAATTATTCAACTGCTCTATTATAGACTGGAGGGCACAAACAGTACATTACTCTGAAGAGTTAGTTTGGCTTATCCTTTTATTCAACACATGCCTCAATTGCCCATATGTTTACGTCAGCAACATATCTGATAAAATCAAACCAAACCGTAATTTCCTTTTCAAACATTGGCTTAATATAGACAACGACTCAAGGGTAATGTTTATCATGATATGGAGACATAAATCTAAGTATTTAATGTTTTTTGTTATATTCCCGAGCCTACCAAACACATACATTAATCGAGTAAATGACAGCAAAGTACAAAATATGAGCTAGTGATAATGAAAGTGTAGGCCTGATGTAGGTGAACTTGACTTTCAGTAAATTACATTTTTAAAACATGGAATTTATTTATGTAATGTTACATGATATGATTAAAGTTATAAATTATTTTAAGTTTTGTTTTACTAACTATAATCTGTAAAATGATATATCAGAAGATCCAGACATTAGCCTTTTACATAAATTGCAAACAAACTCTTAGAATGTAGTTCTTATCAAGGAACAGCCATTTGGGTTACACATCTCCCTTAATAAATAGGCAAATGGCCAAATACAGTATTGTAGACAAGCAATGTGAAGTTGTATATGATCATTTCTTTTTATATGAATACTGACTTGAGTTTATAAAAACATGTTTTCATTTGACTTTTTTTTAATATATCTTCTATAACCTTTATCTAGCAAACCATTGATGTCATTGATGACCATGTTAGATATATTGATCACATACTTGAAATAGTTTATTGAATATATAACGAGAAATCCATTCAAATTTATATTGAATGGAATATATGTAAGTAAATGGGTTTGGTATTGTCAATTGTTTTCTGTGTTAAGTTACCCTTTATGTTGCCTAATAGGAAACAGTGTAGGATATTTAGCAAACAGCCTGCCACAATAAATGCAAAATTAGGATATGATATACAGGTTATGGTTTCAGCAATCGTTCGTAATGATATTTTCTAGCCAAGAGACAATCAGATTATTTCATAATGAAATTGCCAGTTATTCTTACTGATGTACTCCTACAGAAGACGATGTTGATGGCAAAGACCATCGTAACCATATTAGTATAAGTACAACTAAACATAAAGTTTAGATCAGTACACAAAATGGGCGTTCTTAAATCCCATTTATAGTCAAATTGTTGCTCTATTGTTGACATGGATTATATGTTACAGTTATATTTTTGTGGAGGGATATGTTATTTGAACGGACATTGACCTCAAATTTGTTGATGAAACACTCTGCTTGCTGCTTCTTCATTTTCAATATCTCTATGCTCTTACATATGGATGGTTGGTGCTTCTCGCATTGTACAAAATGGGAGCCCTTTCGTAAATACAATAATGGCTCTTTTTTCTCTATCCATGTGTACATGTAGTTGGGAAAGATATAATGAGTACCATCAGAGAGGGTTACAATGGATTTGTGGATCCTGGTCACACACAAATGCATGTTTTTAATGTCTAACTTCTTTTACACTTTCCCGCACTTCTGCCCCTGCATTTCCTCACGCAGATAGGAATGGATTACCACAAAGACAAGAGTAACATTTTCAAGACAAGTCATACCACAATGCCTTCAACAGTTGCCATACAGAAGCTATATTTGAGTAAAACAAAGCCATTGATTATGACAGCTGAAGTAGGCAATTAAGCATAAACATGCTAAATACAATATTACAAAACTCTCACAATCTTATCACAAATAAAGAATATATCTTGATGACTGAATTAACAAAGTGTTACTAAGCAACACCACGAATAGTGCACTTAACAAAGTGGCTTTCAGATGACCATAAGAAGTAGAACAAAACTCGGAAGTGTTACTGTTGAGACAGGAAATCTATATCAACATTTAACTTTCATCGGCCTTTTAATTGAGCATTCTCCCCAGGGTCTCCTTCCCAGTCCGTGTTTAGGGTGACATCTCTGATATACTCACTTAAGCTATTGATTCTTGCCATGAGATTTCAAGAGCCCATGATTCTTGCCTACTATGGAATAATATTGTTAACATTGCCAAATTCTTATAACCCCATATTGGGACCAGGAAGGCTGATGTACCAAAACACACCAAAGCCCTCCTAGAAAATGACTCAGTATATATATGGTAACTGTATCATGAAATCATCTTATTGTTGTTAACTGTGATAATTACAAATAAGGCAAAACAGCCTTATGGGTCATTTCTGTATATTTTTCGATAGTTATCACCTAGATTGGTCACATAATAAGACTTAGTAAAATGGGGTTTGGTATTTAATGTTTTATCTAATACCATATCCTTTCACTTCATAAAAACAATTTGTTAGGCAGAAAAGCATAATGCAGCTTTTGTATTAAGCCACAAGGTTTGAAATAAAACCTAATGGAAACTTGTCTCAAGTTATATCAAACTTCTGAATGCAATGTACTAACTTATAAAAGTAATCAACACATAGTTAGGTCAAGAGATGCATCAAGCAGTAAAGCTAATCAAAAGAAAACAATATGCATTCAGATATCCAATATGCAAAGAAACTCTCAAATGATCCCCTTCTTTTCAGTATTCAAGGACAATTCTCACGGAAAATAATCCCAGGTACAGGTACAATACAGGAGAAATTAAAGAGGTCGGAATCCCAAAACCCTGGCATCAAACATTCAGTCTAAAATGATGTGGGACAGATAAAATCCAGATTCAAATACCATTAGAATGTTAAAGGATCAACATTGCCCGTGAAGCAGTGATGCCATAGCATTTATATGAGCACACAAAAAATTCCAGCAAAAAAGAAAGTATTAATACTAAAGAATACTACTACTATCATACTCATAAACTTAAAGATGAAAGCCCAATCCTTCTGAGTGTAAGTCAAGTTGAAGGTTTATATTATGGTTATGGTTAGCTCTGATAAGAGGCTTAGCTCTCCCTGTCATTAGTGCAATGTCTTGGTGGATCACAAAGGTAAACAGATGTGCCCCTAGATAAGTTCCATCGTACAAAAATAATTCACACAAAAGTGAGGCTTACAGGTTTTTGTTCTGGCAGGTGATAGTGGTACATGGATTTTCTCCAAGAGACCAAAGGTCGTCAGTTCAATTAATATAAAGGGCTTAATAACAATCTGATGAAGATTGTATAGAATGGTTTAATTTGAAAAAAAGACTTAGTAGATTGTCTATAAAAGAACAAGTCTCTAAGACGACATTAAGTTATCTCGTCCAATCAACTTAAACCTAAGTGTCTCTCGGGAAGTGTTTCCTCATTCGTACATGAAATTTCAATGATGCTTGATCAATTCGGAATAAAAGGTTCAATTTGCCCTTGGAGTAGCATGCTACAACATGTGCTCTATCAATGGCCATACGTAATGCAACTGAGCCACTTGAACAGAAATTAACAATTGCTGTGCATTAGGGGGCAATATAAGAGGGATAGGGGATACGTAATCTGGTAATATACATACAATGATATCCCATCTTTATGGTTATCACTATAAATCCCCATGAGAATTCCAGTATTTGTCCACAGAATACCAACAGTAACATAATCACTATTCTACCCTAAGCTAATATTTAAATTTAGCGTAAGACTATGGATTAATAAGTGAGTTAGAGTGGATTCATGTATCATTGATTTCGCAGCTTTCAGTCTAGGCAAAACACATCAATGGTATATAGCGACCAGAGCAAAGGTGAAAAATATCAGTTTTCTTTAGGAGATAACAATTACAGGAAGTTTTGTTACATTACCCCCTTTTAACATAGAATTTTATGTCCTCATTTATCACATGATATTTTAAACCTGATCAATTCATTACTCTATCAGACTCAAAGTAAACATGTATCAAGTAACAATCAGTATTCTTAAAGGAAAATATAGATTTTTTGTAACAATACTCTCTATTTACAGAAGACATCATCATATCTTAGAAAAAAAATTTAAATAGCATCTAGACAAAAGGTGTGAGAAATCAATGTTTTAAGGTGATGCAAAATATTCTGATAATTCTGTTATACTGTTACACTACTCCCCTCTTACAGATAGTTTATGTCCTCTTTTATGACAGAGGCTATCACAGTGGTCATTTATTACCTTTCTAATGGATTGGATAAATAATTTATCAAGGAGTGATTTGTGTGAGCAGTAATGGGAGTAATGACTTCAGTTCAAGTGCATAGAGATAACTTGTCAAAAATATGTTCATTCTTGTTATGGAAATAACGTGAGTATCCAAAGACAGAATAAATTATCTTATATACTGAAACAAAAATGTATTTGCAACATACTGGAATCCCTATAGGCTACATATTTCAACAAATTCTTATAAAATCCCTTACAAGCAACATACTGAAAAGTTCCTTACAAGCTACATACTCAAATGTCACAGCCAATATACTGGAAATCATTACAGGTTATATTCTGTAAAAAGTTGTCCAGGCTACATTCTGAAAAATCCATTAAAGGCTGAAAACTGAAAAGTTTCTTCCAAGCAAAAGACTGAAATATCCCTCACAGGCTAGATACTGCAATATGTCTCAAAGGCTATAGACTTAAAAGTCCCTTACAAGTAACATACTGAAATATCCCCCTCAGGCTATAAAATACTGCCCCAAATATGCCCCAAGGGCTACAGACTTAAGTCCCTTACAAGTAACATACTGAAATATCCCCCACAGGCTATATACTGCAATATGCCCCAAAGCCTGCAGACTGAAAAGTCCCTTACAAGTAACATACTGAAATATCCCCCACAGGTTATATACTGCAATATGCCCCAAAGCCTGCAGACTGAAAAGTCCCTTACAAGCAACTTACTGAAATATCCCTAACAGACTACATATATTGCAATATGCCTCAAAGGCTACAGACTGAAAAGGCCCATATAAGCAACATCCTGAAATATCCCTCACATGCTACATACTGCAATATGCCCCAAAGGCTACAGAATGAAAAGTCCCTTACAAGTAACATACTGAAATATCCAGACTACATACGACAAAATCGCTGACAGAAAGCAACATACTCTGGCACACTCCATGCTGTGAAAAACTCTGCAGGGACTACATTAAAAAATGAATCCTATCAAAAACTCAAAGCCCATGATGACCAACAAAAACCTAAAAGCTAATCTGCAAAGTACTTTAATCGCCAACTTCCGATATATATTGACAGGTTTTAAGTGGAAATTACAACACTCAGGATGAGAAAGCCACACGTTATGGTTAAATCAATAGGTAGTAAGGGAAGCGTAACAATACCATGATTGAAGCATACAAACAACTCTACACTACATGATGAAAAACAATCAATTTCAAATGACAATGAGATATACCTTTTTGCGAGGCGATTTTTGCTTCTGGGATCCACAACAGAGCATGACTAGGATAGATTAATTCCGTGCTAATTTAAGGTTTCCACGAATTTAAAGGTGAAATACTCCATTGATCGGTATGCTCTTTGTATGATTACTATTTTCCTTAATCCTTGATTAATCCTGCCGATACACTTCTTACGTTTATTATCACATTCTATCTCCATTGTTTGAGGTATGCAATCCAATCCAAATCTCACAAGTCGTAAAATACAGCTGCTAAATCAAATTCATAATAACACTAATTCCATGTATGAGACTGTGATATATGACACCTTAAAGATATCATCAAAACATAGGATGAGCACACTTTTGTTTCTAAACGTCATGATTGCATAATCAAAATATTAATCCAGTTCCCACCACTGTTATCCTGCTTCATACTAATTGAAACTTGTATTCTGGTCTGAGAGGTATAGTAAATATCCTATAAAGCGAACAAAGTGCAACATCCCCTCCGGATAAAATACCATCAAACCATTCAATTCCATTGATATCATCTGCATTATCAACGACAGTTCTACACATGTGAAGAATGTATGAAATTCCTCAAGTCAATGTATTAATATTCTAGAACTGGCCTATATACTTCATAATTAATTGATTGATCCCCAGTATCTTGCGCTGGCTCAGATAAAACAGAATAAACAATAGAAGCCGTGCCATTGATATTACCACTGCTTTTGTCCAGTGAAGTAAGCAATCCTGTGTCCCCCTTATCAATACATTACTGTCAATACCTAATGCTTGTACATACTAAACCCTCACATGTATGGGGACCATTGATTTCTCCCGAGAAGAGTTAAGCTGCGTGAAATTCAACAAGCACTAAGAAGTCAACTTTGGGGATTAGACTGTCTGATAACTGAACTAAGGATCACGCAACCAAGTGTAGTCCCCCGTGTTCCAAAAAACAAGACCTGGTTGTTGTCTCCGATCATTTGACTACGTATTTACTTAATTATATCGGACTGTCAAAAGAACGCCAAGCATTATTGATAGGCTGACAGAAATACTAAGTAATATGACTTAGTATCACTTTGTCGGTCTCGCTTTGTCAGAATCAATTGTGGTTCGAGTCTATTGTACTTTGTTCTCAATATAATAAACCAGCAAATTCTCATTAGCGTCACCTTCCTCTAATCAGATATAAATTCTGCTTGCAGTTTAACTTGTTTTATGTACAGTTTGACCGGGTTAACTGGTAATTTAGTAGATTACAAAGGTTTTGGTCCTGTCATAAGCGCTTGTAACCTCTCTATTTGATTGCAATACATTACTTTATCTGATGTTAGATTCTATGTTTAGCTTCAATTTGATATACTCTCGTAATTTGTTACAGCCCACTGAAGTGAACAAGCTCTCGAAAAGGGAGTATTCTAAAAGCCACCCATGATTAATACTCGACAGGTCAGGCACAGTATCATCATATTTTATATCCTAGTCCCGTTGGAGTTATCATTACCCAATGGCTTCAGTGTCTTATACTAGTATGCGCTAATTGGTGCAATAAATAAGCTATACTATTTATTATGGCTAAATAGGTCTCCTATTATCACATCATTCAAGCAGTAAAGCAATAATATTAAATGTAATTGTGACACAACCATCATATACCAAGTTGTGCAGCTTGATGAAGTCTACGAAAGACTGTATTGAACGGTATCTTGTAATTAGATAAGGTCTGCATGTCAACATTTCCCCAAACAGTATTTAATAATATGTTAGAGACACCATACCAATTTATTTATTCAGAGCATGCCACATCACAATAAGTTTGGGTCATAGAACCTTACACGGAATATGAATTACAAATATTTCGATATGAAGAAATCCCAGGACTAGCAATTACTCCAAGAAGTAGGTAATCATGTTATACCCATACAATGCTTCTTTTGACAAAATGATTGATAGTAAGGTCCCGCTATGTAATTCATTCCAATAATTCTTAAAATAATAGTCCAAGATGACATTCCATTCAATATCATTATAAGAAATATCTTAAGAGTACAAAAGAAAACTTTAAGAAAAACAGATCACCAATTTCGAAAGTTGTTTGCTGTTTTTATCAAATCTAATGCTCGTGCGAACTTTTTTTTAAAGTGGAGGAAGTGTAGCAGTGAAGTCCAGTGGGACAGTAAGTGACTACATAAGCTATCAAATCAAGTTCATTGGTTAGCAAACCCTAGATGATAGCATGACTATATCTAATAAAGATTGGATTCACAAGCTTATGTATACACCTAGGGGAAATAAAAACCGTTTTAATCAGGAGCAGCACATTGTTTTAATCAATGAAATAAAAAAGGGGTGCATATCTTTCAGTTACAGTACACATAATAAAGCTTTATTGAAATACTAGAAGTCTTTCATTTCTGTGTACTTTACCATCAGAATTCATTAGAGGTAACACTTTCAAACAAAGACTACTAACATACAGCAAATACTCATCCAAGAGAACCAATATGCAAACGGTACTACCACAATAAAAAAAGTCATTGACAATTTACTTGTTTTTTGTTTTTTTTAACCAAAAGGCATATACACTAGTGATGGTGTCTTAATCATATATTTTATAAGGTATCTAGCGAACATTCCAGTCAGTTGGTGTTCGGTTGTGATGGTTATCATGCAAATAAGCTATTAATAAGCTACAGTGTCCAGGGTAGGCTATTCATATGCTGAAAGATTGCTCTCTCGAGAAAACACATTAATTTGTTATTGAGGTCAAAAGTCAATTGACTTTGTCAGTTTCAAATTGCAATCAAAATAGCAGGGAATGAAACATATTCAATTTCAATATGTGACAATCTCATCAAACATGATAACTCTAATGTTACATCATTATCAGTGTCTAGCTTGGCGACATACCTCTCTGGGAGTCAGATTCTAGCAATTCAAAATGGTTATAAATCTACAGGTGTAGTTTTTTATCGACTGAAACAAAGCATTAATTCAACAATATTCACCAATGATGTCAACTACATAGAGCCAAACATTGCAGCAGAAATTATCAACTTCAATAACTTTATCAAAGTGTAAATAGTTGTTACTTCTATCCAGCATCTAATTAAAAATCAGTCAGAGCATCTTCTAAATAATTAATCATGGCAATTTCTATCTCAGATGCCAACAGGTTATTAATCCACAAATTAAGGAAAAATCCATAGATAAAGAAACCTCAAGTGTTTTCCATTCCTGACACGAAAGAATCGGAGTACACATCTACAGTGTCTCTCTGCATTGAGATATTTATACCATTGTGTGGATATGAATTTATATATACAAGACATATTGCTCCCTTGGGTTTTTGTATTGACAGACTCCATATTAAACATGGCAATAAATCAATTCTATTTTACAATATGTAGAAGAATGCTTGTTTGGATGTAACTTACTTCATTTAAAGAATTGTTGAAGTATGGTTCTCCAAGGTCTTAACAAGAACAAAAAAATCAAGCCGATAGAAGAAGACATGCATAACTTATAGAAGGGAGCGCAAAATTCCCAAAAACATGAAAATAATGTCCTAAGAACATTTTATTTCTCAATACAGAATTGGACTTGAGTTGTTGTAGATTTAAGATGCGCAAACATCCAAATTCATCAAAACTGAAAAGTGACCAATTCCTTTTCATTGTTTTGGCCAGATAATCTTAAAAATTGATCCTGAAATGAAGTCAAAACTGTTGAACAATCCCTTCCATGTTCATGCTTAGCGACCACAAGTAGCTTTTAACAGTATACTTGACACCCGAAATATATCATCAGCATATATAATATAGTATAATATAAAGTTTCTTGTATGTCTTAATTACCTCAGAGACAACTGTGAGCCAAAACAATTGTATCCCATAGATAACTACACAGAATTACACCACAAGGTCATTTTTGGCTTACTGGTGTCATATTATGGTGTCATATGTCACATTTTTTTGATAAATTAAATTAACAGGCTAGTTTTTTAATTCATAATGATCTTACTTGCACTATCAACAGACTTCGGTATAAACCTTTTCCATGATTATCAAAGCTTGGAAACCCATTTACAAAAGCATCCTCAATAACCATACCATTGTGAACAACATTTACAATAGCATCCTCAATAACCATACCATTGTGAACAACATTTACAATAGCATCCTCAATAACCACACCATTTTGAACAACATTTACAATAGCATCCTCAATAACCACACCATTTTGAACAACATTTACAATAGCATCCTCAATAACCATACCATTTTGAACAACATTTACAATAGCATCCTCAATAACCACGCCATTTTGAACAACATTTACAATAGCATCCTCAATAACCACACCATTTTGAACAACATTTACAATAGCATCCTCAATAACCATACCATTGTGAACAACATTTACAATAGCATCCTCAATAACCACACCATTTTGAACAACATTTACAATAGCATCCTCAATAACCATACCATTTTGAACAACATTTACAATAGCATCCTCAATAACCACACCATTTTGAACAACATTTACAATAGCATCCTCAATAACCACACCATTTTGAACAACATTTACAATAGCATCCTCAATAACCATACCATTTTGAACAACATTTACAATAGCATCCTCAATAACCACACCATTTTGAACAACATTTACAATAGCATCCTCAATAACCATACCATTGTGAACAACATTTACAATAGCATCCTCAATAACCACGCCATTTTGAACAACATTTAGAATAGCATATTCAATAACCACACCATTTTGAACAACATTTACAATAGCATCCTCAATAACCACACCATTTTGAACAACATTTACAATAGCATCCTCAATAACCACACCATTTTGAACAACATTTACAATAGCTTCTCACATTTCATGCTTGTCAGCCATACCTGAAAATGACACCTGTCTATGACCTTATAGATTGCCAGGTAGAAGATCACATAAATATTCTGGATTAATTATTCATTACGCCCATCCAATATCTTATTTTGCACCAAAGAATATCAATTAAAGCTTCAATGGTATTAGGTTAATTGCTATAAAGATAACTACTGGGAAAGTCTCTCCATATGCTTAGACGTATCTGATTAGAAACAGATTAAGTCACCATTGGGTACTATTGATTAGGCTGAATTCCTGTAAATATATTGCCATGGTAACCATATGTTTTCTCATCATATGGAAGAAAAGAAAAAGTGAGTTAAGAATATAAAGAATGGACTCTATGAGTTTACTCCCAATACAAAGCAATCAAACACTCCTGTGAAATTGTTTATAGAAACTCTGGTATAATTAACAAGAAGTTAATATTTGAGAACTCTTGGGATTGCTGATTTATTTTAACAAGAAGATTTGATCAATTGCATTTCCAGAAATAGGACTCCACAAAGGAAATTATTTTGTTACATTCTATTTTAGAAACCAAATATGTTCTATTGATGTTAGATAGGAGGTAGGCCAAGGTTATCCAATACCATGACATGGAATCTTACGTTATGCCCATCTATTGGACTACGATTTGGTACTTTATGGGTTGGACAAAAGAGCATAGCTCAACAAATTCATGGGTATTTTAGGATTCTTTTTATGTAGTTGAAACCCTCATTGTCTGGGTTTATTGGCAAAATGAGAAATTCCATGCGAAATAAATGAGGAACATAAACCTTCAGAAACACTTTTTAAGATAGCTCCACACTTTCACAAAAAGTTAAAAAACAAAAAATTGAGGAAATGATATTTCAACATAATTAAAATAGTTTAATTTTGAAATCCTACCATACTCTGTAAATATCCATATTAAATGTGAAAAATGATACCATTTCAACAACTATTGGTAATTATGACATGGAAATTCTCATCACAGAACTTGAGTATACAATGGTTCATGACAAAGCACCAGAATCTGTCGCATCAAATACATTATTGTAACAAATATCATTTCATATCTAGGTTGTATGGCTAAAACACTTTTACAACCACTTGAAAGAACAAAAGAAATCAAGCTTCTTTGAATTTTTTCTTTGTAGTTTGAGTAAACACATGCTTTGCTACAATTAAGATTTACTGAATTCTCTGGAATGCTTAATCATTCATTATTATGATATTGTTGGTATTACAAAGTATAATACATTCTTGATATCTAAAACATATACATTGTACATCATTTATTGAATATAAAAACCTAGTTCAATGTATCCATCTTTTGACAGTGATTTCCTTCATTTTCAATTTGATACAGTGCAAAACGGATCATAAAAAATTCAAAATTGGTGGATTATAACTTTCACTAAATTCATCTAAGACCAAGGGTATTTTGATGGTACATCATACATATACAATTTAATGTGCCTCAGAAGTTAAATTCCCTCATTTTTAGCAATTTGGTAGGTGCAGTAACCCACAAAAGGCCAATCTGAACGATACCCTTATCAACATACTGTATGTAATTGTGTCTGGTGACTAGCAAGTTTAAGACAAGACATTAACATGCAAATTGTCACTACCTGCTATTTGTTACAGACACCGACCACTGAGAGCTGACCACCAAATACCAACCACTGAATGCCAAATGCTGAATACAAACCACTGAATACCGACCACAAGTTGGAGACTAAAACACTCAAATGTCACCTGTGGTGGTGACATAAAAATAACAAGAAGATAGAGAAAGTTCATACAGAAAATACAGATGATTACTTCAGGTATCACAAATTAAATATATTGGAGACTTTAATACTCAAATGTCACTTTTGGTGGTGGCATAAAAATGATACGAAAATTGGGAAAGTGCAAATACAGAAAACACAGATGATTCCTTCGAAAGTTATACAGTATATGAATATGAACAGAGGGGTAGTGACCTTCAATGTTCTGCAGCGTAGCTAATCTAACATTATACAATTACAGTGCCTAATACCCATACAAATATAATCCATAAAATGCATTTAGGAAATGTTACAGTTACTAGACACGCAGACATATCCATAAATATTACTTATGAGTCGAGATGCCCCAAAGCTTGTAAGTTCTATGTGGTTGAATATGACGATTTATACTCTAATGTGAAGTAGTTATGATGATATACTAGCAGTTACTAATTAAATACAAATATAAAAGTAACAAATGTAAGCAATAAAGGTACTTATAGTGCCAGCAAAGGAAAAACAATTATTTACAGAACAAAATGGTACCACCTGAACCCCTTGTGTTAATGTGGTGTTCTACAGACAGCTATTCATTTTGATTTGCATTAAGTTTGGTCATTTTGCGTTTATTTTTTGGTGTTACCGACACTAAATTTCTCTCTGCTCCTGGGTGAGTCAAAACTTGAACTGCATGTCTCATGGCTTGAGCATTATATAGTAATCTTGTTTATTGATTAAAACTCATATGACAAAATAAATCTTGTTTCTGTTGTTTGGTGATGAAAATTTTGCAATTGAGGGTATGAAAGGGTAATTAAATGCATGCTGTGACATAATAGTATAAAAAGGCCAACCATCATTTTAAAGAGTACTACAGATATAGTAAAAAATGAAGTCCATGACCTATATTTTCATGTTCTTAAAATAAAAAATCCTGTCGTTCATTCTTGAAGATAATACATGTTTTAATAATTCAATCTCCTACTCTCCTATGGCCTCCTATGCCTCAACATCAAATGTTTCCAAAAGTTACCCTCAAATTTATCTTTTTTATGTTTGCCCTTAGAAAAACAACAAATGTACATGCAATTATAAACAAGCAGAACAATTACCGAATATCAAACGATCCTTCATAAATACCCTAAAATAATCATTAACACAAAGAAAAAATAAATAAATACGATATCAATGGAGAGAGTCAACAGATTAGTTAATATATTGGAAGGGAATGTTGACATTAAACAACTGAATAACTATAGATACCAGCCAAAATAAGATTAACTAATAATTAGATCTTGCTAACATAAATATTCTCCTTGTGGAGACATCAAATGATATATGGATGGGGTTAAATGAGCATTTCTATGTAATCATGGGTGTCCCTTAGGGGTGAGGCAATAAATCAACATATGTCAAAAATGTGAATAATTTTTATTTAATAACCATCACCCTCCTTCTCAAAATGAACCCATCTCTGTGATTTGTTCATGTTGAGACAACCTTAATGAAACCACATCTAAACTTTGTTATAAATAAAATATAAATAAAACTCTGTTATAAATAAAACCCTGAGAATACAGCAAATGAAAAAGTGTTCATATTTGAGGCATTTTCTGCAGAGAGGTCAGGGGCGTAGCCAGCTTTCAGTCAGGGGGGGTGCGATCGCCAAAAATTTTTCAGTTTTCGGTCAGGGGGGGGGTGCGATTTTGCCATAAGCAACACAAAAAATTAAGATTTCTTTTGAATTTTACAAAAATTGATGCAAATTCCTTCAAAATTGAGCTAGAAGCTTCAAATAAAAAGCATTTTAAAGCTCTTTTCTACCTCTATCCAATGGTCATATTTTCAAAGGTTATGGGGGGGGGTGCGATCGCACCCATCGCACCCCCCCCTGGCTACGCCCATGGAGGTGTTCGAATTCAATGTTTAACTGAAATTAATCAACAAATTTTCCGAATCAGAATCTACTACTGACTATAAATAGCTGGAACACAAGATATTGAATCAATAAAAAATGTGTGTAACTTTGCCATGGGCTCAGCTTTGTTTAGTGAGGTGAATGTGCTTTTTTAATCTAAAGTAGAGGGGCTCTGGAGCAAAAAAGGCTAACAATTTCAAGTTCATCTTCAATTCTTTATAAATGGCCATTTTTAGATTAATGAGAGCTTTCTGGGTCGAAACTGATGAAAATTAAAAGTGGTTCATACAAGATACTGTTAAATAGATGGCAGTGTCACTTCCAATGAAAATACTATGAATGCCATCTTTGTAAGCAAGAGACACATATCCATGGATGAGCAGTTTTCATATGCAGATATAAACCTACTGAGAGTGAGGCATATTATCTGGTAGAGCCCAGAGCAAATAACAAAGTGCTAATTTAGGGAGATTGAGTGCTTTCTTTCAAATGGAGCCTAGATTTAGTTAAAATCAATTTCTGTTACACTGCAACATATATGCCGCTGGACATCTAGTGGCCTGATTTTATAGTGTGTATTGTATAAGATAATTATGAAATAAATTAAATTGAATGTCAAATGATTTGAGCACACATTTTCAGCAATGGGTTTAAGAACACCTAAAATTTACTTTATTTGCACAAACCCGTCTCTAAAGATGGCTTTGTGTGAATAAAGTAACCTAAAATGATCAGTGTTAAATAATAAGAATTTCACATTTTTATCACTTATAGATGTCGGTGTGGTATAGTGAACCTACAATGCTATCACTCTCAACAGAAATAAAAATAAACAACAATAAACAAAAATAACAATGAAACAAGAAACTTATACAGAGATGATATGTTACCATCATGTGTTCTTCAGCAAGTTCTGCCAATCGAATCTTTTCCATTTTCTCGCGTAACTCCTTGCTGAGTTGCAGCGGGGGTTGTAGGGGGCCATCTGGGTTCTCACGCATCTCTTGCGTGAAACTAAGATGTTCATCGATAATGATTTGTAAAATTTCCTCTTGCGATTCTGAAAATTCCCGTTCCATAGCAGTCGCCATGCTTTCTCTGCCTCTGAAGCAATCCACAAACCTTGAACAAATTGTTGCACGTCTAAAGTCCATTTAACTTTTAGCTAAACGCTCCCTCTAGCCCAATATTTTAGTCCATCGTGTGAGAAGCAATTCTGGAGTGTTTAACTGATTGTCCATTTGCTGGTCGAATTGTGATTTTATTTTAACTTGCCTGAAATTGAAAACAAAATGAGAACATGGGTTAAAGTTAAAGATTGATTATACTTGAGCATACAATTTTATTACAATCTAGGGGTTATATCTACAACAAGCATTTAACAATACAAAAATCAGCTTAAAACTCAGACATCATTCTTCATCTTTACACGGGTCTTAATTCTTGGAATTGAGATATCGGAGGTTGAAATTTCCTGAAATTTTCCACATGAACACACTTTCTAAGAATAGATGATATAGTGAGAGAAACGTCAATATTTCCAGGCGACCCCTAGATGGATCTTACACCCAGGATATTTCAATTAACTCTTCAGAGAGTCTTGAGTGCCAAGTAAGTCACTTCATCCGTTGATCTTCTAGTGAAGATTCTATGAAAGTAACATCTTGAAAGAAAAGCCAATTTGGATCACTGAACAGGTTGTTATTTAGAATGTCTCTGGATTTCACACTTGTACAGTTTTTTTTATTGAGCGATTGACATTCTTTGAAGTGCAATAATTGCAATGCTATTCAACAAATTCAATCTGACCTTGGATATGAGACACTCATTAAGAACAAATGACATTCAGGGTTTTTCCATTTATAAAAGCTAATCAGACATGTTAGAAGACTGCTGTGATTAACATCAGAACTTTTGTTATGTTCGTATCCAGTCATGAGGCAGGCGAGGCAACTGCCTCACCAAAATATGAAAAAAATTATTTTTCAGACAATTTTTAAAATAAAATTAAAACTTTGGAAATAAAGTCTGATTGTGGTAATATATAGCTACTAGGTGCCTCTTTAACCTAAATTTGCCTCACCTATTATTTTTTGCCTCACCTCTTATTTTGCCTCACCTCTTATTTTTTGCCTCACCTCATATTTTTGCCTCATCTGTTATTTAGCCTCACCTCTTATTTTGCCTCATCTCTTATTTTGCCTCACCTCTTATTTTTTGCCTCACCTTATTTTAGTTTATGTCCTTGTTTGCAATCATATATTCATCTGTATGTCAATGTCAACATCATATAGCATGACCCCATAAATGAAACCCTCAAATCATGGAAAAACTATAACTTTCATTGGTGGAATCTTTCTTGTTTGTGTTATAGATAGTCTTGCTTCAAGACCCTGGTCGCCCCTCTCCCTTATCAACTGCAACAATTGTTGTTATATAGAGAGCTTTCAATAGAGCAAATAATGGAGTACTTATACATATGCCTTTGGGATTTAGAGAAGTCACATTATTCCAAAATTGGAATTTTGCATATTTTAAATCACCCAATAGATATATTTTGAAAACAAATAATTTTGATCAGTAGATGCTGAGTGAATGTCACAATAGGAATGCTTTACTTGAAAATAGAACCCAAAACAATACGGAATAGCATCATTCTTTTGGCATTAATTTCATGTTGATAATTTAACACACATACAGTGTAGTTGCACATTTCTTTAAAACACCAGAAGTGTGATATATTGATACAACATTGTTGTAAGTGTAAATGCTTCAGATTCCTTGATCCCAGAAGAATCAGTAGTTTTGAATCCAAGTTATAAAATGTCCTCTTAATGCAGACAGACTCTCTATTAGTATGTACATAATAAAGAAATGTACAACTGAGTGTTACAAATGCGAAACCTGGACAGTTAATAGAGCCAAGAATCCATCATTGTCTTTTGAACCATTGCTCTCATTACCCTGACAGAATCCTCGAGGCATCCATGCCTTCCCATCTTTTCAACAGAGAAACAAAGGAGAACTAGCCAAGAGCCAGACTAGGGATAACATAAAAGAAGAAAATGCATTGTATATCTGAAATTGTAGAGAAATACTAGGTACTGATCCATGTATTTTAGGAAGGGAATGTACTGTCCTGTTTAATTCATTAGAACGGACATCAGATTGAGCTGTTTAAATATCTGATTAGTTAGAAAATCTCATTCTGATACTTGAACCATAATTACTTGGAAGAAACTGATCGAATGCAGTGATCTCAAACGACAGGAAATGTAGTCTGAGATGAAGCAATTTTGCATAAGAGTGGTGTACGAGACAAACCATACTGTACTAGGATCAAATCTCAGTTTCTATACCTTTTCTCATATTTTGAGTTAAGATGGTTGTAGCACTCATCTTCGTTCACTCAGCTCCCATCAGTCTCAGTGAAGACCGAGCATGCGAAGATGTGGAGCACATGAGCAACACTGGCTTTATTCCAGTAAATGTACTTTTCCTTTGGAAGGGGTTGTCTCAAAGGTTTATAACTAAACCATACACATCCTGTTAGATCATCCAACTGACCTTGTCAATGAAACATATTGGAATTGCAAACTCTTGAAATAGAACCAATTTAATATGATTCTCCCATATTCAAGTAAATCAAGCAAACTTTTACTACTCATCCTAGTCTTGATCAAGATCCTGAATCCCCTACCCCTGCTTCAACTTCAACAACAGATTTGGTGATCCAGGGGGGGGCATCTCTGGCTAGGCAGTGATTACAAGACACTGTTGTTGAAGTACATAAGGGGGGGACCAGGGGTCTTGAAGCAAGAATATACTCCACTGGTGGATCCAGAAGCTAACAAGGTGGCCCAAATTTCAAACCTGGAAAACATTTGAAGCCAATTTTTGATAATTTGGCCTACAGAGGCCCAAAAAAGACCAAGTAATGCCCAAAAAGACCTACTAATTGAGGCCCTACAACTTTTTTTGCCAGTGCACTCATCCCACTAAACTAAATCAATTTATTACATTTAGAATTCAGTGTGAACAAGACACAATGCCTCATTCACATTGTACGAGTTGAGAATACCGTGACATTTTTTTAAATACCATTTCTCCTTAATGAACGCCCATAGGAATTCTGTTCCAGATGGAAAATAGCCTAACTCCACAATAACGACGTTAATTTGGAAATATTAAAGCTCTTACATCAAATATAAAATATAAGTTCTGTATTAGAGCTGACTGTTGTTATAATTCAGCCCCTAAGAGGATGATCCATTGATCGAGACAGCACAGTATAGTATTGGAAAAATACTCTTGAGTTATGGAAGGTAGTTTTGCATCCAGTCACTAGTTCCCCTTCCTCTTATATCTATTTTCCAATTCAAAGAATGATGAGATACAGGGGCTGGATACGAGGCTATGTAAATATATAGGATGGGCTGAAAACAAGTCCAAAATGGGATGTAACAACTATAAATTAAATTCATGGGAGAAAGAGAAAAGATAGAAGAACCCAAGATTCAATGAAATATGACATCAGCTTAAAAAACAAATAATAATTTCATCACACATCACGAAGGACGAGCTAAAATACAATAACTAATTATAAATACTATGAAATATTGGAAATGGAGAAAACAAGATTTCCGATTTCCACAAGGCATTTGGAAGGAAATCAAACCACAATATTGAATAATTCAGAAGTAAATGTGACCTTAGGAATGTGTGTTTCTTTGAAATGTGACCTTAGGAATGTGTGTTTCTTTGAAATGTGACCTTAGGAATGTGTGTTTCTTTGAAATGTGACCTTAGGAATGTGTGTTTCTTTGAAATGTGACCTAAGGAATGTGTGTTTCTTTGAAATGTGACCTTAGGAATGTGTGTTTCTTTGAAATGTGACCTTAGGAATGTGTGTTTCTTTGAAATGTGACCTTAGGAATGTGTGTTTCTTTGAAATGTGACCTTAGGAATGTGTGTTTCTTTGAAATGTGACCTTAGGAATGTGTGTTTCTTTGAAATGTGACCTTAGGAATGTGTGTTTCTTTGAAATGTGACCTTAGGAATGTGTGTTTCTTTGAAATGTGACCTTAGGAATGTGTGTTTCTTTGAAATGTGACCTTAGGAATGTGTGTTTCTTTGAAGTGTGACTCCTACATGTAGGTCTATAACATAGACCCCCATCTTTTAAAATCACGAAAAGTGTTGAAAAGACAGTATTTTCTTTTACTGGATATATTTTCATTTGAATAATTATCAGACACATAAGACAGGTAATATGAAAACCGATCCACTTAAACTGATGAATATTCAAGTTTAAGGGACCTTTCAACTATACCTGTAATGTTATCTGACCCAAATAAGCCACCTGGTGGTGAAACTGGTAACTATGTACTGGCATCAGGGTTTTGCATTTACCCAAAAATGTCTAATCCAGTAAAAAATAAATAAACCAATTTACAATTGAATATGTGATGCTAAAAATCATGATTTCAACTTGAATAATCTTTGCTTGGCATAAGAATATGATGCATAGCAAGAATGTCATAAAACCAAAAACTTTGTAAGCAGGAACAGTCTGGTGCAAAGCAATAAAATGTCACTAAACTAATCTCTGTGAATAAATGGAGGATCCGCTAACACTGAGCTATATATTGAATCTGTGCTTAAGACTGAATGAGGAAAAACTATTATTCATTGAGCGTAGGGAACACTTCATTAAATAAGTAATGAATGTTTCTAAAGGCCAAGAAATTACTTTTTTATAAACTATGTAATTTTTTGAATGTCACAGGTATATCACCTACATACACATTGTTAATGTCATAATCCAGGATACCATAATAATGCCAATATGATTCAGTAAGACAAATTACTATAATTATAATGCAACAATGACATTTTCTCCAAGCCAATGATTAATGTGTTGTTAGCATGATGCGTCCTTATAGCATACCCCATCTAAATTATTGAACATTTTAAACAATTTCAGTTCACCTTGTAATGTAAAGGTATTTGAGGTGTTTTTGTTCCAGATGTGTTTGTTTGGGAAAGATATTTGTACTTGGTTTACACAGGGTTTGACATATTGAGGTGTAGGACTTGCCTGACTTTCAGAGGTGTTTGACTTTCTGGGGTGTTTGCAATTGTTTTTGGAAACTTGATATTGGGTGATGTATAAATATGGATGTCAAATGTTCCCTGGTGATTCTGAGCCAATTTAAGCATTAAGTTGGCATTAATCTTCAATATATACTGATAGAACATTTGGAAATGACTCGTTAAGTTAAATACATAGAAATGAACCACAGAATGCACTTGGGGCCCAAATAAACAAAAATAAAATATCTGTATATAACAGTCTAAAATACCTTACTTGTATTATGTAAAATAATTCTTACAGAAGAATAAGTTTCAAAATGCTTAAAACACATCTGTTTTTGGATTTTAACATAAATCACAAAATTGCTATAATACATAAGTGTAATTTTGTAACTTGTGACTCAAAATTATACAAATCAAGTCAACTTATAAATGGAATGGCTTCCAAAAATACTGTAATAAATAAAAAAAAAATACATTTGTTTGGACGGATGTTGTAAGATGCCATGTACAAAAGTACAGTGTACATCTGGGTATTTCCAAGTGTATATGCATGTACATTTACATATGTAAAATATATTTGCTTGTATGTGAAATTCAGGTAAATACAATTACATGTAGGTAAAATACATTTAGGTGTATGATTACGAGCTTTGTATTAATGTTGATATGTCATTCAAAATTTGTGCAAAAATCTATGAAATTGTATATATTATGCACCCTGCGTTTCTCTGGAAATGCCCAATGCTGGTTTCAAAATGTCATTAAAATATACATATTTACAAAATATATGTATTTACATGCAGTGTGAACTGCTAATTATCACAGATTAGGATTCTATACTTACAGCTGACCTTGAAAACAGTGGCACACAAAATATCATCCGATATATGCATCAGTTTAAATAATGTGGTAAATTGTTTGTTTTTTAATCCAAATATTTAATACACTGATTCTTTTTGTTAAAATCCCTACTCATCCAATGTATTTAACACATCCAATGATATATCAGTATATGAGAAATCACGAGAGATCCATTCTTCAGATTCAGATCAGCTCTACAACTGTTTATTTTCTCAGAGGACGTCCATTCCTTTATGGCTTTCCCGCATGGTTGTACCAGCACGACGTGTCGTCAATGGATTGCCTCTTTCACCTTTTTGCAGAGCATGACACTTCCAAGCAAACGATATCAGTTCAACCTGAAGCCAAATAAGGAAACATGAAATTATTTTAACAAGCAGATTTGTTAAATACGTCACTGTAATACGTCAAGCCTGAGTTGACTAGGATATGCTAAAGCGATGCCATCACAACTCTACATGTAAAAAAGCAATAAATTGTCTTTTGCTCTAGAAGCTTGCTCGATTTGACTTGTTATCCACTTAATGTGATCTAAGGCACTAATAATATGCTTTGATTTAGAGCTAGCATTAATTTTTATGCCATTCTTTTTTTGAGATATTTAGGTGAGTTTCATGCATGTCATTTTGATTCAAATATGCGGTTTCTAAGAACTCAGAATGCAAAAAGGCACTCACGTTTATGAAAATTGATTTGAATATTTATACGAGAATAGGAATGGTTTATCCTTTGCTAAGTAGCCCCTAGTTGAAGGTAAAGGGAATGATATTGGTTATACCACAGCAATATCTCCCAAAGGAACCATATTTCTATAGACATTTCTACGTCTATCCTGTTGCTACTGATACATAAGCTCAATTAGCTAATAGAAAGGAATTTATCAGCCCTTCAACTCAACAGTGCTTCCCTGAACACTTTCAGGTAGTAGATATAAAGAATCCAATCATGAGATATCATTTTTATTACATGATATTCTATTTATAATACCATTGGTGCACCTAAGTAAGTTAGTGTTTTCCCCAAGTATTGTGCATTTACTGGTTTTAAAAGTGTGATTTATAGCTAATTAAGTTCAAGTGGTGACTCGATCAGGTGATCGTATCTCTTGTTTAATATATTAGTAGAACCCGAAGATAACCTCAATCTGGTAATCAATAACTGCTATTGTCTGAAACTTTCCGTTATTAGAATAAAATGTCTCCTCATAATCTAAACCTACAGTATATAACTGCACATAATTACACCTTATAATGATGTATTATGATGAGGCTATTTGAAACAATATAATGCAAACAGTAGATTTGCAGCATCGACATACAGCCCATTTCATTGTTTTATTGCGTCAGTAAAACCTGAAAATCAAAAAAGAAATCAAAAGATCATTATGCAATAACATATGGAAAAATATATTCCTAATATACATAAATGACATTTGTTTATCTGGGATTGCTTCTGGTTCAGGTAATAAAGTGTGTGGCCTCTTATATTTGGATGCTTCTCTGCCATGTTATTTTCAAAAAGATTAACATGGCTGAAATTCTTTAAATTACAAGAGGGCACAAGCTTATTGCACAAAAAACTAAATAATCTAAAATATACAATTGTCATCATGTACAATATGAATATACTTTTCTATATATTATTGCACAATGGTCTCCTGATTTCTTATTCATGGTATTTTACTGACGCAATAAATAGTGAAATGGGCTGTAGTATCAACCAAGAACTTCAACGACAGTTGGGAATATCCTCAAACCTAATAGAAAATCAATTTGCACCCATTTGGCAATTTAAAAATTATTTTGAGCTTATTTTGGATATATCTCAGGTGATCTGGCAAACTCTGAACAGAAAATACAACAGACAAGGCAGTAAGATGCAAAAATGTTAGAACCTGCCATTTGTTACAAACAATGAACTCTGAATTCCAAACACCACCACCACTGAACACCAACCACCAAACACCATCCAAAAAAGTTGAAGACTATAATAATATGTCACCAATTACACAGATGCGAGTAGGTAATTGCCATTTTCACCACCAGGTGGCTAATTCGGCCCAATATTTGTTTCTCGAATAGGTATTCTGCCATATTATATCCAGCTCCTGATCATCCAGTTGTATAGTATCTGATTTTTTATACAAATTAAAATATGTCCAGTAAAAGAAAATATTATCTGTCCAATATAAGAAAAGATATTCACTTTTTTGATTTTATAACATGGGGTCTAAGGGAATCTCCCCCACCTAGAACTCACATTTTCAAAGAAAATTTAATTTTCAAAGTTGATAAACACTTTTTAAAAACCACATTTTAAGATGTAATTTTACATGTAGATTTCAAATATGATACCACTTTGACTGAATTTTTAATTTTTAATGACATAAATTAAGATTATTTCTACTTGCATCTAGTCTATTGTGGTGGTGACATAAAAATGATGGCAAATGACAGAGGCGTTGAATAAATAATCATTCATGTCCCTGGCACAATACTGGCTTGCATAAATAAACAGAATGTCTTGAAGCTCAGACATTTAAGAGAGAAATTCATGAAATATTCATGATGCCTTATGGTCCTTCAGGATAGAGATGTTATTACCTGTTTTTACAAATAAGACTTTTAATTATATCATTTGGTTGTGCTGACAACTAGCGTTATTTCATATTTTACGCAAGACAGAAAATCAGGATCATCTTGACTGTTGTTATGGATACAGACTAGTCTCATTTCATTTTTGAACCAGTTATCAACCATTATGTCTAGTACAAAAATGAAAATCTTTTATCTGTGCATTCAGTCAAAGATAGCATTTATCCAAACCCTAAGATTTGTACCTGCACATTGACTTATCATTTCTATGTTTTTGTGGGGTTTGATTTGACATATTTTATCCCCTCTTATTGCTCCAAATGCATTCCTGAGTTGTACACACTCGTGAAAACAGAAAATAGCAAAAGCACTTAATATTTCACTTATCAAATAACAGAGGTCTTCATTCGATCCTTTGCATTAACAAGCTTATGGCATGATGTATTTTTAGAATAACCAGACACCAGAGTCTCGGAAAATTGACAAACGGACGAGTCTATTATGCAATAGCTGTGGCTTCATGAGGCGTTAACTGTTATTTTCATTCCATAAACAATATGTAGAGAACATCTCCAATTTCCGACACAGTGATTAGAGACATGGTATCTTTTATAAATATCTTCCTCACTAGTTATTAGTTTTGAGTACTAACGATCAAGACTTAGCAAAAGCCAATATTTTTAATCAACACTTTTTGTGAATTTAGCTGTGGAATAACTTAGTTAATGTATGTTTTACAGTGTAATAACCGTGCCTTCTGAAGCTATAATTAGATAACATTTTGCTAAGCGTGCCACATCTATTCAAGTCTATCACTAGATAAATATTCACTCTGACATGAATACTGCCAATTCTGGCAGATTTCAGTGAAATCTATCCATTTATTTCGACAGACGTTCATAAAACATCAAATTGAAGCAACCATGCGGGTTGATAGAGATAAAGAACAGAATCATAGTGACAGTGATCACTTCTAAGGTGACCCAACTCTCCCTTCTGAAGCATCAACATACACACTGGTTATGCTCATATTTTCATCTCTCTCTGTTTGAACTGGAGTATGAAATAAACCAAATTTTTAAATATTTAACTGCATGTACATCAATGGCAAGATAGTTATCATTATGAAAACCGAGTTATACTTGGATATATGATCTAAAACTCTGAAAATCATAACTTCATGTTCTCAATTGCTGTATTTATTACATGTATCTCTTTAAGGCATATTTTGAATACATAAGAACTTCTCTATATTTTTACCCCTAAGTTTTTACTTTTAAGGATTTTATGTACATAAAATTATATTATATTATATTATATTATATTATATTATGTACTATACGTATATAGTCAAATTGTAAAAACTGTTTAAACCGTAGATCCGAAAACAACTGGGACTGGCTTAAATAAAAGCATATTCTCAATAGATATTTATACTTTAATTGACTATATTCGTATTGCTTTATGGCATTCTAATAATTTGAAAATCTGATTCAAATGAATTTATAAGACATGTAAGAAAGACTTATGAATAAGACCATTTAATGTTTTTCTGGACATCATAAAAACAGGGATTAATAGAAAATATTTGAGTATTTTTAACATGGTAGTAGATATAAAGAATCCAATCATGGGATATCATTTTTATTCCATGATATTCTATTTATAATACCTTTGGTGCACCTAGATCAGGTAATGTTTTCCCCAAGTATTGTGCATTTACTGGTTTTAAAAGTATGATTTATAGCTAATTAAGTTCAAGTGGTGACTCAATCAGGTGATCGTATCTCTTGTTTAATATATTAGTAGAACCCGAAGATAACCTCAATCTGGTGATCGATAACTGCTATTGTCTGAAACTTTCCGTTAATAAAATGTCTCCTCATATTCTAAACCTACAGTATATAACTGCACATAATTACACCATAATGATGTATTATGATGAGGCTATTTGAAACAATATAATGCAAACAGTAGATTCGCAGCATCTACATACAGCCCATTTCATTGTTTTATTGTGTCAGTAAAACCTGAAAATCAAAAAAGAAATCAAAAGATCATTGTGCAATAATATATGGAAAAATATATTCCTATTATACATAAATGACATTTGTTTATCTTGGATTGCTTCTGGTTCAGCTAATAAAGTGTGTGGCCTTTTATATTTGGATGCTTCTCTGCCATAGTATTTTCAAAAAGATTAACATGGCTGAAATTCTTTACATTACAAGAGGGCTTATTGCACAAAAAACTAAATAATCTGAAATATACATTTGTCATCATGTAAAATATGAATTACTCTAGTAGCTCATGCTGGTTGAGTATGCACTTCTATGTCCAGAGATTTTCTCTTCAGAAATCATCTATGTGAAGGTCATTGATCAATTTTGGCTTGGTAACATATTTGCCACAGAAGGCGAAATAGGTCAAATGGCCACGCCCTTTTTTACACGAATACTCCCCCCCCCCATTTTTGCATCTCCGGAACCGTTGGACATAGAAGGTTGTGTGACCACTCAAAATGTCCGGAATGGCAACATTATAGGGGGTCAATAATACACATGTATTTAAAAAAGTCAATGGTTCTCAAGATATTTGCCAAAAACTGATTTTAGCATGTTACGCACAACAGTTTTCATCTATCCTGCATCATTTAAGACTGAATCCGCAGCCTCTATCTAGTCAGATCAGCGAAGGAAACAAGCTTTTTTGGTTGTTGAGTTGGCCAAGAGGTCTTAGGTGAA